TTTTTTTTTTTCCAGGTGGGAATCCACATTTTAGCGCAGTTTTGGGGGTTTAAAATTGATCCTTGTAATTGTGAAGCCGCTCAGGCTCCTTTTGATGCTCAAAAATTGTCCTGAGCGCTTTGTGTCGCTCCGAGCTCTGAATCCTCGTGGTTTTGGTGGCTTTTTTGCTTCATTTCTTTAAAAATAAATCATCTGTTTTGTTTTTTTTTCCCCTTCCTGATGCTAAAAAAGAAAAAGGGGAAGGAAAAACCTTAAAATATAAAAATTTTAAATTTCTTCTGCCGTCTCCGCGGGGCTGGTTTTTGGGGAGAATTTTGGAGGCTGTGAGATAGAAAAGAGACTTTTACTGATTAATTTCTTCTTTTTTTAATTCTCTCTCCAGGGTGTTGCCCCAGGTGGAAGCAGGTGAGTGAAGCTGGGTCCTTACTGGTTTAACTGGGAAGCTCAGGGGAGGCAGAACTGGTCTTGGGGGGGTTCCGGCTTCGCCCCCCCCCTGCCTTTTCCTCGTCCTTCCTGTGAAAACCACGGAGAAACTCAGCTGGAAAGGATCAAACCCCCCACCAGTAGGACCAGTATCAAAAACTGGGTGAGGGCTGAGCCCCAGAGACCCCCGATTTCTCTGTCTCATACTGGGCAGCCCCAAACTGGTCCCAGTCCTCAGGGGTGGCCACAGAGGGAGAACAACCCAAACCTCTTCACCACCAGCTTCCTTCCCTGCCTCTGGTTTGGAAATTTTTTCTCCGATAAATTTTTTCTCCGATAAATTTTTTCTCCGATAAATTTTTTCTCCGATTTTTTTTTTTTAGCCCCCAAAGAAAGAACCTAATATTTCCTTTTCCTCCCCAGTTTCGAGAGCTGGATGTTCTGCAAACCCGAGGCTGGTTTCACGGAACTGGAGAAGAAACTCAAGAGCTTTTCCCAGAAGAGCGCAGTGCTGAAAGAAGTCTTGCTGGAATTCAAGGGTGAGCGCCGAAAAAAAAGATTTTATTAAAAGTTGCTACCCCCTAACCCCGATATTTAATTAAAAATATTGAAAATATTGAAATCTAAATTTTTTTAAATTTTCTTTTTTTCAGAAAACCTCCGATTCGAGCTGGAGAATGACACAGGTGAGCACAGTTTGATCTGGGGACTCTGACCTTCATTTTTTCAGGATTAATTTGGGAATTTTGACCTTTCCTGCCAGTAAGACCTTCAGGAGGTCCAGGAGAGGAGAAGATTCTTCCTGGGCAAAAAAAATAAAATAAAATCCAGCTGCTGGGAGCGTCCACAATCAAATTTTTCAGGAAATTTTGGGGTTAAGAGGATTTTCCAGGAGTGAGGAGACCTTTGGCCGCGTTGCTGGGTGTTGATTTAGCTCTGAGCCGGACTTTGCGACCGAGCCCGGGCGCAGGATTAACCCGTCTGCTGATGATTTTTTTTCCCTCCTCTTGACTTTTTTTTAGATTCCTGCCGCCCTAATTCCCTGCCAGTCCCCTGAGGATAAAACCAACCCTTAAACACGACGATATTTCTGCTCCTTCCTCTCTCGCAGGACTAATAAATAAAAAAAAATAGAAATTTTGGTGCAAAAATAATTCATTCCAGAGCAAGGAGGTTGTCTGGGATGGGGCAGGCTGATGGATTTGCAGCAGAAATGTGGCTTTATTTATTAAAATTTTTCTTCCCCCCCCCCCGATTTTTCTTATTTTTGATTTTTCTTTGCTTAAAAAACTTTTGGAGGCTTAAACTTTTTTTTTTTTTTCATCCCAGGTGATCTCTCGCTGGATCCCGACACCGCCAACCCTTACCTGGTCCTGTCGGAGGACAAGAGGAGCGTGCGGCTTCGTAGCGCACCCCAAGAGCTGCCGGCGAACCCCAAAAGATTCGATTATTCCTTCTGCGTCCTGGCGGCCGAGGGTTTTATCGCCGGGCGCCATTACTGGGAGGTGGAGGTGGGAGACGGGGAGAGTTGGGTTTTGGGGGCGGCTCGCGAATCCGTCCGGAGGAAGGAAAAAATCGATTTTGCTCCTGAGGAAGGAATTTGGGCGGTGGGATTAAATTGGAAAGGGAAAAATTGGGATCAATATCAAGCTTTTACATCCCCGGAAACTCCTTTATCCCTTTGTGAAAGACCCAGAAAAATCGGGGTGTACCTGGACTACGAGGGGGGGTGGGTGGCGTTCTACAACGCCGATAACATGGCGCCCATCTTCACCTTCACCGCCGCTTTCACCGAGAAAATCTTCCCTTTTTTCTGGCTCTTTTACGTCGGCTCTTCCCTCTCCCTTTGCAATTAAACCCCCGGATTTCTCCAACCCAGGTGACCTGGGAGTAGTTCCCCCTCTTCTCCCTGTTTTTTTTCCCCTTTCCCTCGCTTTCAAAATTCCCAAAATTCACCATTTTCCCTCGTTCTGCTTCGGGGTTGACTTTTTCTTGTCGCATTTAAAATTTTTTGTCGCATTTAAAATTTTTGGGGGCTCTTTTACCCCGAAAATCCTTCCCCTGGGGCTTAAATTTCCTCACTGTGGGGTTATTCCCTCCCTGTAATTTTATTTTTTTATTTTATTTGAAGCTGGCTGCCCAGCCAGGGAGGAAAAAAAAAATATATTTTCAGGTTTTTATCGCATTCTGCATTTTTCTGTAGCCAAACCCATTGCTTTTGTCTGCCCTGAGTGCTCGAAAAACCCCCG